ATGGAGGGTATATTAACTTTGTCATTCCGATTGTTACTCCTCGAAATATTCATAATAGACCCTACCAAGTAAAATTCTAAGACGATCTAGCGATGTCTGTCTGTCCGTCTTTCTGTCTGTTGTAATCACGATTTTTTTCGAACGAATTGAGATAGAAGGCTAAAATTTTGCATACATGCATAGTTTACCAGTAGGCAGGTTAAGTTCGTAAATGAGCCATGCCGGTCCACGTCCACGTATAGCCCCATATAACGGTGCCTCCCGATATTCGGTATTTTTATTATTCACCGCAATAGTTTCAAATTTCTTATTTGAAGTTCGTAATGGGTACTACAAACTATGACAACAATTTTTTATGCAGATCCAGTCCCTAATAAAACGGTACGCCCCGAATAGTCGGTATTTTCATGATTTTTAGCGACAGTATTTACCAGAATTATTTCAAATTTCGTATTTAAAATTCGTAATGGGTACTACGACCTATGACATTAGCGACATTATTCACCGGAATCGTTTCAAATTTCGTATTTGAAGTTCGTAATGGGTACTACAACTTATGACAATTTTTTAAGCAGGTCCACGTCCCCCATAAAACGGTACCCCCGGATATTCGGTATTTTCATGATTTTTAGCGACATTATTCACCAGAATTATTTCAAATTTCGTATTTGAATTTCGAAATCGGTATTTTCATGATTTTTAGCGACAGTATTTACCAGAATTATTTCAAATTTCGTATTTGAAATTCGAAATGGGTGCTACGTCATATGAAAAAACATTTCGTATGCAGGTCCACATCTTCGTATAGTCTCCATATCACAGTACCTCCCGATATTAGGTATTTTCACGATTTTAGGGACATTATTTATAGAAATTGTTTTAAATTTCTTATTTGAAGTTCTTAAAGGGTACTACAGCCTATGACAAAAAATTTCGTATGCAGGTCTACGTCTTCGTATAGTCCCCATATAAAGGTTTTCATTTATGTGGTAGTTTTCAGAATTTCTTTTCGACATTTTTCAAGTTTCTTCCAAATAGTGGAGGGTATTAAAAGTTCGGCTCGACCTAACTTAGCTTCTTTTTTTCTGGCTGAATTTCAATATTTAGGTCTAAGAAAATTTGGTCTCACTTTCCTACCTCCCTCCCTTAAACCCCGTAAAGCAAATTCAACAAATTAAAATTACTCTTCTAAGCCTTTAAAATAATTTGCAAAGAAAACAAATTCTTACTTTTGTGAAAAATCAAAATAGTTTTCATTTCGTAAATTATCACACACTCAGTGACCGGGCAGCTATTGAGATTAAGATTTCCAGCAACGATAACGGTGCGATGATGATGTGATGTGATATTTTTAAAATATGATGTGAACTTAAACGTGTAACTAGCATCATAACCACAATCTGCCTGCCTGCCTGCCGGCCAGCCAGCAAAACATGGACATGACTCATAGCATGGCAAGAAATGAATTATAAATATTATATGGCGTCTAAATTAGTCCATGCCCACATACATATGTACATACATTCACACACATCAAACAATTGACCACATAAATTATTACAAACAGCAGCAAAAAAATGTAATTTACATCAACAAATATATAAACTATTTAAATTAATAATGTGTTTATTTATGTACTTAGATGTGTGCAGATAGTTATTTGATGTGTCTTTAATCTCTTGATGATGGATTAGAAAAAAAAAAAAGAAGAACATTGTCGTCATTAAAATGGATTATAAAAGCATTTCATTCATATAACAATAGAATTAAGCAATGTGTAGAAAAAGAGGATTAGAGGGAAAATAAATAGTTTGATTTCGCCCCAAACATATGTGCAGATATTCACTTAAATATGAGTAATTTTAAACATTTAAAGTGATAAATAAATGCATATAGACATCTTATTTTCCAAAACAATTTAAAATGATATGGAAATTAGCAGGATTTGCAAGAATAAAAGGGGCATATCTAAAAGTTTCACAGATTCATATGGGGAAAAAATATGGAGAGGATCTAATGTTGATCTAATCGGTGGGGCATGATTCACAATATCTAAAATGGTTGTTTAAATTCAATAATTGATATTATAAATCAATATTAAAGTTTAAACTTGATTCAAATCAGTTGAGCATTACAATTCCATGTAGCGCATTCCCAACGGACGTAGAGCCTTTTGCGCCGATAATTATTGAAAATTTCCACTTTTGGTGATAAATTGTGTTTTAAAATCATGTTTACGTGGAATATTGAAAATTTACAATGCACAGTAAATAAGAAAGCAAGCAAAATATTTTTTGCAACATTTTACATGTTCGACTTCCTACAATTTAAAATATACTCAGATGTGATTAAGGTCCGTAGAATATTTGACAAAAACTAAAAATAGGCATCAATAAACGCCTCAATTGAGAGACTATGACATAGCCCCAAAACAACTATTCTAACGATTTAGGTGGTCAATTGATGATTGGTAAAATGTTCTCAGAACTCTTCCCTCAATAAGAACATCATTACAACGTTTTGTTGAAATACAGGGTGAGATAAAAAACTACAACAAAGTCAAATGCCATAATTTTTAATTTTTTTTTTTCAATTTTATTGAATGAAAGCAATTATTGTCGGAAATAGCATCAAATTCTAGAATAAGTTTGGATTTCTTCGAATTGGTTACCTTTGGCACGAATTATGGCCTTCAAACGGCCAATGAAACCTTCACACGCTGACCGAAAGTTGTTCTGCGGTATTTTGGCCCATTCCCGGCGAAGCGCTTGTTTGAAGTGATCGACATTTTCATATTTTTTAGTGCCAACCTTGCTTTCCAAAATTCTCCAGACAAAGTATTCCAACGGATTGGTATCCGGAGATTTTGGTGGCCAATTTGCGCTGGAAATGAAGCGAAGAACCTCATTTGCTGAGTGCGATGGTACTGAGTCCTGTTGAAATGTCCAAGGTCTGCGGCTAAAATTCGGCATTTATTCTGATGCCACGGTCGATTAATATGAGCGGAGAGCGACCATCGGCTGTTATAGCGGCCCACACCATCACCATGGCCGGCCCTAGAGTTCTGATGGCCAACCGAAGGTGGACATTTCCAAGTAAACACGATCATTTTGTTCGTTTAAAAACTGCTGGACAACGAATGTTTTCCCATCGGCGAAACCAAATTCGGCAGTTCACCACTGTTGGCCATGCGAAGCAACTCTTTAGTTCTTTTGAGTCTATTTTCTTTCTGTTGCGGTGTAAGTTCTTGCACTTTTTGGATTTTCAATGGCTTTACCCCGAGTTAATTTTTCAATATTTGTCGAATGGAATGTTGCGATATGTTTAGCTCACGAGCCATGTTTCGGTCACTGCGACACGAGTTTCGATCAAGTTGCTTCTTTAGTTTTCGTACCATTTCTGCTGTTTTCTTCCGTCCACTTCCTCGGCGTCGATAAAATTTGGCAGAGATATTTCTGGGATGTGTCTGGTACCATAGATCATTGGAGCTATATCTAAATTTGAACCGATTTTCACCAATTTCAATAGGGTTTGTTCTTAGGCCAAACAAATATTATTTGGAAAATCTCATCTCAATCGGATAATAAATGCGACCTGCATTTTGTTCACAAAAATACATGGACAGACGAAAAAAGGCCGGACTGACATGCATAAATCGACTCAGAAAGAGATTTTATGAAGATCCTCAGAAGTAACCAAGCTTAAAGAAATTAACTGACTTATTTTGCCTTTTATAAATGTTATAATTATTAAAAATTTTTAACATTTATGGTGGAGGTACGAGAAGTAGTGGACCTCTATATCCCATTTGCACACCAAATCTTGTGTTGGTAGAAATATTGCTATCTGCAAACTTTGAAGACAATCGGGCTCCAACTTCACATTTTATAGGAGTTACGATCATTCAAAATTTTAACCCTTTGTGTGGAAGGTTCTAAGAGTAGGGTCCAATATTATCGCACCTGACCTAGCACTGATACAAATATTAATATTTGTAAAGTTGGAACGAAATCGGATGATTATTTCTAGTTATAGGAGATATTTTTTCTTTTTCTTTATAAATATTGACCTTTTGTCGGGAAGGTATCAGAAGCAGTCGACCGATATTACCCACCTCCAAACGCAATCTAAGTTTTTTAAAAATATTACGATGCTCCAAATTTTGAAAAGACACATTTTGGGCGTATCAAATGATATATAGCCTTTGTAGCAATAAGGCTGTGGTACGACTCCCGATATATGTAATTGGTGATAAAATTCAATAGTAGATTCCAATAAGATATCAGCCGAATTTCAAACTTATGTTTAATCAGTTGCGTATTTCAGTTCCATAGAACGGAACCCGAACGATCCCATTTCATTTGAAACTTCATTCCATTTGAAACTCGTTAAACTCTATCCACCCGGACCCGGATACCCAGATATTGAACACGAAAGTCCGGGTCCAAGCCAAAGTCCAAAAGCGATATGGACTATATAGGTATAATTTGAAAGTGGTCACATGATGTGGTTATTTAAAACGGTTCCGGAACTGTATCATCCGGATTAAAAAAAAAAAATCCCCCAAAACGCAAAAAGGGCCCCATTTGGGAGTCCATAAAATGTATGCCTATTTCGCAAGAATCCTAGAGTTTTTATTAAACTAGAGTTGTTCCAATGTTTTATAACATTATTATATCAAGGTTTTAGTATTTGGCTTGTTAACAATATTAAACAATCAATAGATACTGCTGTTTAAAAAAGTTAACAAAAACAATAAAACATCAAGAGAAATGCAATTCTCCCTAAAATTGGCATTTTCTAGATTATTCATCAATGTATTACAGACAGTACAATAATATGTACAGTACAGTACAGCATTAATATCATAATCATTTGTAATTTTTGTCATTGTCGATAAATAAAAAGAATAAATCAGCGAATTGATGATAATGACCGCAACCGAATAAAAAACTACAAAGAACACAACAAGAAAAAAACTACACACTAATGACACTTACCGACACCGTATTTATTATTCGATGGAGTCCACATTGTGCTCCCCTTTGAATTTCGGCACTCTTTGTTTTGTTGTGTTGTGTTGTGTTGTTTTTTTCTGAACTCTCACTCTCAGCCACTTGCGATTTGTGTGACTCTTTCTCACTCAATAACCTCTTTTGTTTGTCGTGGCTCTGTTTGATCAGTTAAAAATGTGCGTTGTTTTTGTTGGTGTTATTGTTTCAAGTTGTGCTCATGTGGGGGGAAGCTGGATGCTGCTGCTACAATGGGAAGCAGCATTCGTACAGCAGCGGCAGCGACAAAGCAGAGACAACAATAATTTATTGTTATTAATTTCTTCTATTGCAAAAGCAATTATAAATTTTGTTGGTATTTATAATTTATTTAATGGAAGTAAATTAATTAAATTCCATTTAGGCATGTAGGTAGTAGCTATTACTTCAATTCACATTCTCAGAACTTTTTGTTGTAACATTTACACACTTTGTTTTCATTTGTATTCGCTTGCAAATTGCAATGGCATTGGAAACGAGGCAAACTTGAACTTTATTTGTGAACTATTTTTCTCTTTTTTTTTTTTTTGTTATTTATTTTTTGTTGATTTCTTCTATAAAAATCGCCTGCTTTGGCAAAAGAACCACATTCATGTTGTTGTTGTATTTTTACTCTTGCTTTGGGGGGTTGTGGTGGTGGCCGCCTTTTTTTGTTGTATAGTGGATTATGGTGGTGCGTTTTTTCCCACAATTTTGCACTTTTACTTTTTTCCCTTTCCTTGCTGCTACACCTAACTCACGGCGCAACACTCACCACAGAAGCACACACACACACACGCTCGCACACCTTTATTACTACGCCTATTTTCGTCGAGCAGGATTCTTTTTTTTTCCAACTTGAATACAATTATTTTCTTGGTGTGGTTTACAACAAAAAGAAAAAGTGCAGACTTAACAAAAGTAATAAAAACAAATTGCACGTTTTCGTTGCTGTTATTTCTTTTTTCACACGCGCGAGTTATGTTTTACATTTTTCCACTTATTTTATTATTAAATTTAACAATTTTTTTTTTTTTGTAATTTTCTTTGCATAATTTACAAAAATTTTGCACACAGACACTTTTCCATTGGATTTTTCACAACCGCTTTTATCGTTTGTCGGATGACAACTACAACTGCGCGTTTGAAAATCGATAAAAATTTGCCTGCTCTAGGTTGTGTCGGCCAGGCGGCTGGCTGGCTCTCTTCCCAATTGGAGGATATTTCTTCAACACATGTACACATTGACTGTCATGCTACTTCCTCTTTTTGTTGTTTTCTTTTTTGGGTTGTCAAATTTGTTGGTGTTTTCTCCCGATTCTTTTGCCTTGGTTCGTTTTATCTTTTTCTACAAAACTACAACAACAAAAACTTCACTTCCTTTTGTTTGAATGTTGTTGCTGCTGCTGGTGGCTGCTCTTTAATATGCAGCTCACATACAATTCTAAATGAAGACTTTGTGACGGCGGGCGGCGGCTACACTTGTGCTGGAGTTACTGTTTTATTTTGCCCTCATACAGTGTCTCTGCGAACACACACAGTCTCACGCAACAAAACTTCTACAAACGGTGGGGCGCACTGTGCACTTTTCGTTGCCTTCCGTACGACTCACGACGACGACTTTAACGGCACGAGCTGAGAATTAAAACTGATTTGATTTTTGGGGAGTGTAAATATTCTTTTGTTTATTCCGTTCTGTCCGTCCGTTGTGGCGCTGCGTTGACTGCACGAGAAGGGCGCAGAAGCATCGCAGCAGCTGTTTCCTATTTTGGCACAAACAAAGGGAAGTACAATTCTAATAAGAAAGGCAACATAAAAGAGAATCGCAACAAAAACAAACGCAGTGTTGTGCAAGAGAGTAGTAGATGAGCGACAATGCAGGGAAATGAAATTTGAGTAGTAAATTTGTAACGTTTAATTGTATTTATAACGGAAATTTAAAAAGCAGACCTTGGACATTCCAACAGGAATCAGCATCATCGCACTCAGCAAGCGCCACCCAAGAATGGTTACAAAATAAGGTTCATCGCACCAAAATCTCCGGATACCAATCCCTTGGACTATTGTGTCTGGAGTATTTTAGAAAGCAAGGTTGGCGCTAAAAAATATCAATTTGTCGATCACCTCAAGAAAGCGCTTCGCCGGGAATGGGCCAAAATACCGCAGAGCAACATTCAAGCAGTGTGTACAACCGTCATTGGCCGCAGTCGATCTCAACAAATGCATGAAATTATTTTCAACCATTAAATTATATGGAATGTTTATCAATTCACATAAAGATTTCAAACATGATTTTCTTTTTAACGTTCTTAAATATCATATAATCACCCTATACAAGCCCCATAAAGCTTTGCATTATGTAGAGAATGTATATGTCAAACTATTGCAAGTACTAACCATTGCCAGTGACTTTAAAACTTTACTATCGAATGTGTAATCGATAACTTGCCAACCTGTTGTTGCCTTGTTACGGTTGTTTAATATGTTGGTATTGGTATTAAAAAAATGTGTGATTGTGTGTAATTTAGAGTTTTTGCATTTGCTAGAAAAATTATTTTTATCGTTCCTTTTAGCTGACAGACCTAATTTGTTCACTTCCTTCTAATTATTCCTTTCCATTCTATATTGACGGCGACAAAAGCACAAGACGGCTCCGTGATTAAAACCATCAGCTGATAGAGTTATCCTATGTCTCATTCGTAAACAGTTTAGTTTTATCGGTCTTTTTCCTTTGATTCCATATTCGTAACTCTGGGAAAGCTTTTCATACTGTCTGGTTCGTTGATATTTAATAACTAACGATATTCTTGCTCTGTTGGCACTGCCATTCGCTCTCTGTTTTGTTAAATTATTTAAAGAAATATGTCTGATTCGGATGATTGTGATTGGTTTGACAAGGACGATGATGCCTTAATGAGAGATTTTGAAAGGAATATGAAAGCCAAAGAAGCAGAACGTATGGAGGAACATATCAAAGTGCCGACAAATAATTTGGGTGAGTTATTGCAGTGCAATTTGAAATTGAATATCCTAATAAATCTCCCCACTTTAATTTTCAGATAACTACATCAAAGAGTTAACATTAAAGGCCTCTTCATCCCACACAAAAAAGAGCGGTAATGCGAACAAAAAGAAATGCAATATTGCAGAACTGCGAAAGATAAATGCCTTGTCACCGCTGGATCAGTTTCTTTATACACACACAATGGAATATGACTTTTACAGTGGGCAATTGCAGCCCAATGACAGTCAGGAGAAGGTTATTTTATATACCAGCATATTGGCTGCGATATGTCGCTTGGAGCTACCGGGTTTCCAGAAGCCTCTGCTGCAGGCTTTTCGTGACAACATTTGTTTACAGGAGCATCTACGCCTGCTGTTGGCCAAATTGTTTTGCAAGCGCTTTAAAGATATGTGGAAACAGCCAAAGGATATGGAGTATTTATTGGAAAACATAGAATTGTTGTTTATACAAAGCTGTAGCAGTGAAACCATTAACGTTGGTCATGATAAAGAACAGGATATGCTTAAAGACTTATTGAAAATATTGGACAAAAGTGATAACGACTTGGCCGTGTGTAAAAAGTATAAAAATCGTCTCAAAGAAAATCTTCAGGCTCTTGTAGATAATGCCAAAAGTTCAGAAACAAGTACCTGGGAAATATATCCAACAATTGATGAGCTATTAAATGATGCATCACAGTGTAATGGAGAAGATATGACCAAATCCCTTCTACCCGTCCAACAATACTTGAACAGGCATATGCAATTTCTTAAGGAAGATTTTCTCTTGCCCCTGCGTGAATGTGTTAAATATGTGAAGAGTAGTGCATCCCAATGTCCTGATAATTTCCATCTCTTTGATGATGTTTTTATTGTATTGAATGAACAATTTCTGGATGCAAATCGTCATGAACTGTTATTTGTGGATATCCTTGGAAGTCGGCGGAATTTAGATGACGATGGTAACACGAATATACCATGGGAGGTACAGGAAAAGTTGTGGAAAATAAAATCCGGCGCCTTGCTGTGTTTCACTACATCCCGGGATTTTGATAATCTGATTTTGGCCACCGTCACCTACACCAGTCAGGATTGCCTGAAGGAAGGATATGTGAGTATGCCATGTTTAGAAGGTCTAAGGTCTAAAAATTAGAAATAAATACTTGTCCAGCAAATAATTATTTAGATGTGTCCTGTGAAGACGTTTCCAATAAGAGGTGATGTTTTGCAATTCAAAACCAAAACCAGTTTAAGACATTAATTTTCAGAGCTTTATTTTATAATAAAAAAAAAACAATATGAGCCAAAGAGGCACCACGCAAGCCTACATGTCCAAATGCGGAAAAAGCATGAATAATTGGCACATCAGTACCGTATCGAGTAAATTGTGGTCAAAGGAAAAGTCGAAAATTTATATGACACCTGTCGTGGACGATCTCGTTTCCAACTTAGGAGGTACCACCACAATTAACTATGGATGATGTTGGGTCCTGACGATATGTTTTTGGTGATGTTGAAGCTACTCGATGAACTTTTAGTTGAGTATCTTACCAAACTTCTCAACTTGTAGTTAACCAGCCTAATAGTTACCGATGCTTTGGAAAGTACAGGGTGGTCCGGCTACTGAAGCCCATATCAATAGGCGCTTGAGGCATTATTTCTCCCCAGCATAAGGTAGTGTTTCGCAGTAGCTGATCATCAACATGGATTCCGAAAATTGCATAGAACAACAACAGCTTTACATACCATTTCCACACAAGTCAGCAAAGGACTCAACCAGAACGACTCCTCCCCAACATTAGAGGAAGCTATCCAGTTGCCAACTATCAGCACGGATTCCGTCCATAAGATAGTACGATCATGGCGTCGGGCTCAGTGGTAGAAGATATATGTGAAAAGTTGAATCATATCTCGCAGAGATTGAGTGGAAGTACATCCAGACTTGCCTGAATGCTGCCCTGAGAACTGCGACAGGGTGCCTCCTCATGAAACATGTGGACCATCTATATGAGGAGGCGAAAGTCCTTCCCTTACGTCAGCATAATCATATGCTTTCTTTGCTTGCTTGGGTTTTAATTATCCCAAACATCATGTGGTGGATACAATTTGACACCCATGCGTTTCAGGAAGGACAAAGAGAGGAGGAGAGGAAGAATCCAATTAGGCAGGTTTGAGTGGCATTCATACCGATCTAGTTGCAGATGCCTTCAGGAATTAAAGGATGTCGAAGTTAAACCCCATCCATTTCAGCTAAAGAACGTCAGGGAGGTCCAACGCTATAAGAGAGAACCTCTAGATCAACAAGCCTATTAGGCAGGTCTGAGTGGCATTCATACCAATCCAGTTGCAGATGCCGATGAATGCCGTCCATTGCAGCTGAAGAACGTCAGCTGTGATATCTAAGGAATTTTTTAGCCTCTACCTTTCTGGCACTCCACGCCCTTTAGACGGTATTGAGTTAATAACGTACGCGGATGATTTTACGATCATGGCAAATTATTGATAACATTTGCGAAAGTTTGAACCCTACTTACTTGAACATATGAAAATATTCGTCTAGAAACCGACGGCCACACTTTTCACCACATGGACAGCAGAGATGATAAACTAGGTTTACATTCATCCATATATAAAATTCTTTTCACCGGACTTATATAGTGTCTTGATAAAGTTGGAGAGGCTCATTTTATTTTTCTATAATAATTTGTAGCGATTATAATAATAATCAATATTTTTCTCTTTCAATTCCATTTCAGATTGGCATTGAAATAGCTCGTCAGCATAATATTGGCAACATCTATAAAAGACCATTGCTAATGTTTGAAACTCCAGCCTTTTTCGAACCTTATCACAATGTTTTCAATTACTTGAAAAATTGCAATTCAGCCGAATTTCCCATGAAACAATATATTGTGGATGAAGAGCATCCCACCACGGCGCCCAAATACTTAACAAACGATACTCTATATCAATGTAATGGGCAAAAATTCCATCCCTTAAGAGAGTCTCTCGAAAAAAATACTCTAGAATTAAATCTCTCACAACTGGAAGCATTTTCCAAGGCCTTAAAACAAGAGTTTGCATTAATTCAAGGTCCCCCGGGAACTGGTAAAACCTACCTATCCGTCCAGATAGTTAAGACATTAATAGAGAATGCCGAAACGCCGTTAATTCTGATTACCTACACAAATGAGTCATTGGATAAGTTTTTGGTAAAGTTATCGGCCTTTACAGAGAATATAGTTAGATTTGGTAGCCAAACCAGAGATCAACGTATTGCCAAATATAATGTCAAAGATGTTGTTGAACATTCACTGATTAATCCCAAATTAAAGAGGTTATACTATCTCTGTAGCCTGGAATTCAAGGAGGCTTTTGGTTATCTGCAACAAAAGCATCGGGAATTTGATGGCGCGGACGAATCTTATGGAGAGATTTTAAAGGCTCAAAGTAAACTGGCTGAGGTCAGTGAAAAACTAAGAACCCTCAAAACAATGTTTCAGTACTATGTGGCTCGGGAGAAATCCATTATTGGCATGACCACAACATGTGCGGCCAAAACTAATTTTTTGTTTCGTTTGCTGAAAAGTAAAATTGGTAAGTTCAAAGTTTGGATAAAATCTATTATTATTGTTATAATTATTTGTTATTCTTTTAGTTATTTTTGAGGAAGCTGCTGAAATCTTAGAATCCCATATTGTGGCCTGTCTGACACCCCACACCCAACATGTCATTATGATCGGTGATCATCAACAACTGCAACCGTATACCTCAAATTATCAATTGCAACAAAAAACCCAAATGAACATATCTCTATTTGAGAGAATATTTTGCAAACATCCCAACCCCATTGTTTTGCGTACCCAATATCGTATGCATCCGAAAATTGCTGATCTTCTGTCGAATACAATATACAAAGATTTAGATAGTGATGAAAGTGTTACTCACTATCCAGCCATAAGACAAATGTCTACAAATCTATTCTTTATGAATCATAATAAGCCAGAGGCCAAGACCGAACAAGATTCGTCACTCTATAATCCATATGAAGTCACACAAGTTGTGCAATTGTCTTTGCATTTGGTACAAAATGCTTTGTACAATGTGGAGGATATACAAATTTTAAGCCCCTATGCAAGACAAATTGAGATGATACGGAAGCAGGTAGGTTTTCTTCATAAGTTTTTAATTTGAAATAATATTTTTGGTCTCCTTTCAGCTGCAACAACATCCCTCTTTACAAGCTCTTAAAGCCTGCACCGTGGATAGTTTCCAGGGTTTGGAGTGCAACATTGTTATACTGTCATTGGTGCGCAGTAACAGTACATCTCAAATTGGTTTCCTGAAACAAAGTAATCGCATTTGTGTGGCCCTGTCACGTGCCAAGCATGCCATGTATTGTATCGGCAATTTGGATCTCTTAAGTCAGTGTAGTACCATTTGGAAGGAGATTGCTGAGAAATTGCAACATCACAAGGCCGTGGGTGATAAATTTCCCATTGAATCGGAGAACTATTTTTATGATAAATAAGTAAATCGATGAAACAATAATTGTATTTATTTGTAATTAAATTTTTGCATATCAACCAAACGAACAAAGAGACTGACAAAGAAGGCAAATCTAATATTTTTGTCTGTTACAACATACCCACCAATTTTGTACTTACTCTTCTTAACCTTGTTCTTGTTTATATTTAAGAAAGAAAAGATTTAATTTAAATTTTTCACATTTTCAGTTTTTATTAGATTTTTTCTTATGATCTTTTTGTTTGTCTTTTGGGATGTAGATTTTATTATTATTATTTATTATTTGTAAACGTATTTCATTTTTATATTTTCTCATGTAAACTACATTGTAATGCTTTAAAAACCAAAAGAAGAAGAGTAAAAGTAAATAGTTTTTTTTTTTTTTAATTTATATTATTTATTGTTTCGTCTCAATTGGTATAATTTTGTATTACTTTATTTATTTAAATTAATTTTAAATTTTTTTGATTTTTGAAAGCAGACAAGAATCATTATTTTATTTGTAAAAAATAACTTGTGACAATGTTGACGAAATGTAATAAACATTTAAGTAATCTTAACTGCTAAAGTACTAAAGAAGTTTGATGTGGAATCAATAAACTATTAGAATGCCTAGGGATTTTTGAGGTGATGAAAGGCCTTTTACAGAAATGACAGATGGCGGACCTTCTAAAGATCAAAGTGCAGGCAGAACATATTTTTCAGGCTTTTCTTTCTAAATAAAAAACACGACCTTTTAAGTTTCTTTTTTAAACAAATGAAATGTTTCTAATAAGAATAATGTTTATTGAAGGCTTTCTAGAGGCCGAAAAAAATATTTGAAGGCCTTATTTAAATTGAAGACTGTTAAAAAATATTCTCATAATAGAAGACCTTCAAAAAGACTACTATACATAGATGACATTTTAGAAGACTTAGACCCTTTAAGTTCCCATAGGCCCTTTAAATGTCCTATAACTAGAAGACCTTTCAATGATCTTCTATAAGAAGTATATCCTTTAAAGGACTCGAGCTTTTTCTAAAAGCATAAACAATTTTTAAATATTCTATACACATATAAGGTCATCTAAAGGTCTTCCATTTGCAGACAGCTTCTAATAACACTGTGCAATAAAAAAAATGAGCAGATTAGGAAAGTAGAGCCAAGTAAAAGAAGATATGTGTATCGGCTTTTTGAAAGTTTATATGTCAAAGTAACCTAAATAGTGAGGGCCTCATGTGCCTCCGGTTTCCTTCACACTTTTTAATATCCTCCACCATTCTATGGTATATTAGCTTTGTCATTCCGTTTGTAACACCTCGAAGTATTCACAAGAGACCCTATAAAGTATATACAGGGTGAGATAAAAAAACTGCAACCAACTTCAGACTGTTGTCATTTCTAAGCCACTCGTCCGACAGCTGCTTAAAATATTTCAGTGTTGTGTACAAGCATACAAAACCATTTTGGAGAGAATTTTCCAGAAAAAAACACAAGCGGCTATCGTTAGGGCACTCCAGTATTAAAATGTGAATAAATCTTTTGTTTCTCGTACCATCGCTCGTTACCGTAGCGTAGCCCGACGTCAAGGATGTGGACAGAAGAAAACAGCAGCATCAGCAGAAATGGTTCAAAAAGTAAAAAAGCGACTTGATCGAAACCCGCATCGCAGTGGCCGAAAAATTGCTCGTGAGCTGAACACGTCGCAATATTCCATTCGGCAAAAATTGAAAAATGAGTTCGGTGTAAAGCCATTGAAATTCCACAAAGTGCAAAAACTTACACCGCAACAGAAAGAAAATAGACTCAAAAGAGCTAAAAAGTTGCTTCGCTTGGCCGAAAGTGTTCAACTGTCGAATTTGGAAATGATCGTGTTTACTTGCCAGAGGTCAGCTGAAAATGTGCACTTTCGGTTGGCCAGAACCAGAACTCAAGCGCCGGCCATGGTAATGGTTTGGGCCGCAATAACAGGCGATTTTCGCTCACCGCTCGTATTTATCGACCATCCATGGCATCAGAATAAATGCCGAATATTATCGTGAAAATATTCTGAAGGGTGTATTAAAGCCTTGGGCACGCAAACATTAGACCTTGGACATTCCAACAGGACTCAGCACCATCGCACTCAGCACGCGTCACCCAGGAATGGTTACAAAATGAGGTTCCTCAATTCATTTCCAGCACACAATAGCCACCAAAATCTCCGGATACCAATCCGTTGGACTATTGTGTCTGAAGTATTTTGGTTGGCAATAAAAAATACCAAAGTGTCGATCACCTCAAGCAAGCGCTTCGCCGGGAATGGCCCAAAATACCGCAGAGCACATTTGGGCAGTGTGTGACGGTTTCATTGGCCGTTTGAAGGCCATAATTCGTGCCAATGGTGAACAATTCGAACAAATCTAAACTTATTCTTTTTTCATCATTAAAATACCGAATATCGGGAGTTACCGTTACATGGAGGCTATACCAAAACGTGGACCTTTCAAGCCCATTTTCAATACCAAAAGTCCTGCAGACATAATATACATTTGAGTAAAATTTTACCAATCTACTTCAATTCGTTCGGAAGCTAGAGTGGTTTCCACAGACGGATAGACGGACGGACATCGATAAATCGACATAGAATTTTATGCTGATCAAGAATATATATACTTTGTGGGGTCTAAAATGTATATTTCGAGATATTACAAACGGAATGACAAACTTAATATACCCTCCATACTATGGTGGAGGGTATAAAAAACTTTGTTTATTTCTGAAAATTTAGCAACTTTTCCCAATTTGCTACAAATTTTCGTATAATTTTAAAAATATGTTGAAGACCTTCATACAAAAAGACTTCTACAATCAATTAACAAGAATTTTTTTTTATCAAGAACTGCCTTTAAATTGGTCTTGGGTGTAGAGTTAAAGACTTTACCGTGGAAATATTGAAAACTGGACGGCATTAAAAGCTAATCATCGAAAGGACGCCACATCATCAACATTGTCTATCGAAAATAATTTCACACACACATCAAATATATATTTAAATATAATTTTTATAACATACAAAATGGATACAAGCTAATTAGAAAGGGAAAAGATTTGGGGGAAAGCCAATTGGATTTAAATATTTTCTCAGTTATTTTGACACATTGATCGGAAACAAAACAGGAAAAGGATGGTCACTATAACATTGCCAATATATATATATTTGTTTTTTTTTTATTATTTTTATCATTATTTTAGAATATTTAAATACTTAAATATTTCTATATATGTTTTGGATTTCTTCTTAATTTTTTCCTCCAATGGTTGTGTGTATATAATGTATACATATAATATTCATTTGATTTGATAGTTGTTTTTTTTTTTGCTGTTTATTTTAGTTTTTGGATTTATATTATACTTTGTCCTTTTTCATTATTATTATTTTTTTTAATTATTATATGGTTAATTACCTTTTTACTCTGTTAATTTAAACTTTGTTCATAATTCAACGTTTTGCTTTTGTTTTAAAGGGGATTTATTTTATATCAGTTTTTGTTGTTTTTTTATTTGGTTTTTAAAGGGGTTTTTTTATTTTATCTCAGTTGTTGTTGTCTTTTTATTTGGTTTTCAAAGGGATTTTATTTTATCTCAGTTGTTGTTGTTGCTTTTTTATTAATTTCGTAATTCTATATAAAAATATGCTAAAATTCATTTTTCTTCTTGTTATTCAATGTCATGTATGTGCGTTGATGATCATAATCTGTCAAAAAGTAGAAATTATACAAAATATTAAAATTAAAAAAAAAAATAGAAAACATAAAAATATTTAAGGCAAAGGCCATCTTTGTTGCGTACCATTTATCCGGGGTGCACCTGCCCACGAAATAAATTAGCGGCCCTGCGAAATTCGATTTGAAAGAAGTTAGAAAGTATCAGTATATTTATATCAAATTTCACAATACAGTAGATGTTTTTAAAATCCAAAATTTTCAACACGCGTCTTTAAAAAAAATTAGCAAAAATGTTCTATTTTTTGACCAGGAAGCTCTTAAACAACAAAAATGTTAAATTGAAATTATTTTTTTTTTTAAATCCTTTGATTTTTCAAAAACAAAAAAAAACAAGTAAAAATTCTGTAAGTTCGGCCGGCCCAAACGAATTTGGCAATAAAATCCGTTAAAAATTCTGTTGAAATCTTAAAAATGCCGAATGTAGTTCTTATAATAGGGTCTATACGATGACATGGACCTGTATAGGTAACATTTGTCATAATCCATTACAATATTCAAATGCGAAACTTAAAAAAATATGGGGGCTATGCGAAGACGTGGACTGGCATAGACAATTTTCTGTCTTAGGCTGTAGTATACAAATACCAAATTTGAGGAATTTCGGTGAATAATTTCGATAAAATCATCAAAATACCGAATATCGGGAGGTACCGTTATATGGGAGCTTTACCAAAACGTGAATCTACATGGCCCATTTTCAGACATAACATACATTTGAGTAAAATTTTATCAATCTACTTCAATTCGTTCGGAAGCTAGAGTGATTTCAACAGACGGACGGACATCGCTTAATATACCCTCCATACTATGGTGGAGGGTATAAAAATTGAACTCGAAATATAAAAAAAAAGACACAAATCCTGATCCGACAGACCAGAGGGCTGCAACGAGTATGAATAATTCAATCACACTATATCTCATACATACGAAAGCCGCATCGCTGTGGCCGAAAATGGCTCATGAGCTGAATATATCGCAATATTCCATTCGGCAAATATTGAAAAATGAGCTCGGGTTAAAGCCATTGAAATTTCAAAAGTGCAAGAACTTACACCGCAATAGAAAGAAAGTAGACTCAAAAGAGCTAAAGAGTTGCTTCGCTTGGACGAAAGTGGTGAACTGTGGAATTTGGTTTTCTTCAGAAAACATTCGTTGTCCAGCAGTTTGTAAATAAACAAAATGATCGTGTTTACTTGCCAAAGAGATCAGCTGAAAATGTGACCTCCAGACCTCAGGTTGGCCACCAGAACTCAAGCGCTGGC